GGGCGGAGCGACCCCTGGCGCCCAGAGTGGGAAGCGCGGGGGCGGGGCAGGCAAAGGCCCCCACCCGCGTCCCCCCAGCTTCTCGGTGCCTGCCTGGTTCTGAGCGGATTCTGCAGGGGTTCGCTGCCCCCACCCTATCCTTACTTTCACCGCACCCAGAGTTCGGTATTCCTGGATTCCAGAGGAAGCCAGAAATAGATATGGGATAAAAAAGGGGTCTAGATACACGCAGAAAAAAAGACAGAGGTGGATTCCAGAGCTAAAAAGCGCCCTCCACCAAAAGAAAAGAAAAGCCCACAAACATAACAAGAAGGGTGAATAAAAGAAATTCGCCACCCCACGCCCCTCAGTGCCCGTGACCCAATAACATTTGGTAAAGGGTTCAATGAGTACATGTTGGCCTGAACTGGAAAAGGCAAATTTCCAGCCACCTCCACCCTCGACCCCCAGTGTTGGTGGGTGGGGGGTGGGGGGAGGGCAGAGCAGAGCAGAGGGTGAGGGAGAGAGAGAGAAAACAGATCAGTCTGGGGGAGCGAGCAGGAAACCGACAGGAAAGCAGAGAAGGAGCGACAGAGACATCAAAGAGACAGAAAGCAAGCTAGAGACGCAGAGACAGAGACAAAGCTTCGAAAAGAGACTAACTGACAGGCCCAGGAGGGGGAGAGGGGAGAGACAGAGATAGAGAGAGAGAGACAAGGGCTGAGACAGGTTGACAGATCGAGAGAGAAATGTAAATGGCGCGCTGCGGAGAGACACCCAGGTCCGTGTTCGGACTCCAATGTGACATATCAACTGTGGGGAAGATGCGGGGGCGGGGCGGTTTTTCCAACAGAGTGGTATGCTCTGGGTCTGTGCATTGTGACAGTATGCTGGCAAGTGCGGTCGGGCCATGGGACCCTGGTCTGGTGTGTTCCTGGGTGAGTGGGATTGTGGATTGTGTGTTGTCTTTGTGTGTGTGTGTGTATGAGGGCTGGTTGAAGGGAGGTTTCTGTATTTGGCTTCCTCTTAGTCTCTACATGTGGGACCCCACGAATGCCATCTCTCCTTAGGACTGAAGAGTAGAGAACCTGCTGGGGAGAAAGAGTCAGAAAGCAGCTATCGGCTCACTTGTCCTGCCCTGCCCAGCCCAGCCTAGCACCACCCCTGCCCTGGTCCCAGACCTTGTCCAGCCCCAGCATCTCTGCCTCTTTTCCCTTCCTAAAAGTCTGTGTTTCGATGGAAACCCAAAGAAACTGGTCCCCAGGTAGCAAATGTTTGAGGAAGGGATTTGAAGTTGGTGATGCAAATTAACACAACTAAAATGCAGATTAAATGCTGGGCGCCCTCCTGTGAGAGGTGACTGTTTCTGTCATTCCGAGTGACCAAGAGGGGACCCAAGCTTTGATAGATCCCTCTCTGTGAGGGGTCATGGTCCATGAAAAAAGCCAGTGGCTTCATCCTTCTTTAGGGTTTGGCACCTCTGGGGGAAATTTCTTGCTCACAAGGGACTCCAGGGGCAGAAGTTTGGAAAAGGGGCAAAAGTGAGGATGTTTGGAGACCCTGGAGGTGTGCAGCTGCAAAGGACCTCTTATTCACTAGGATAGGCCAGGACTGTGATATATAGGAATAAGTTGTGCAAATGGAAGGCACAGGGCACACCAGGGCATGATTATTGGGCAAAAGATGATTCCCTCATCTCATTTTCCGTACCCCTTCCCTGCACCTCCCATCCCATAATGGTGCAGGAAGAAAGAGGTTGCTGAGGCTGGGCCAGTGTCGAGAGAGGCCCCTACATGCTTGAAAGGGTTGGGAGAGAAAGGATTGGCAGTCAGTGGGGGAGGGGCCTCCTCCTCCAACCATAAATACAAATTTTATTCAAGGTCTTTGTCGCCATTTGTCTTCCTCGGGGGGCTGAGGGCCATGTCGGCCCCGTGCATGTCTAATTCCGGAACTGCTCCCCCAGGCTGGATGATGGATGGATCAGAGAGGAGAGAGCAGGCCAGGGCTCACGCTGGCCTACCCTGCCCGATCTTCAGGCCCCTTCGTCCCCAGGTCCTGCCACCCTCTCCTTCCTCCTCCCTCCTCTCCTGCCCTCCCTCCACTGACCAGAAGCCCTCACTGCTCAGCCCCACTCCCCACCCCACTCTCCTACTCACCAAGGCCCTCTTTTTGAGCCCCTCACCTCAGCCCCTTTCAGGTCCCAGCCCTCTTCTCTCTGGAGCGTCCCTTCTCCTCCCGTCCCCAGCCCAGGCTGTGAGCTGCGGTGACCAGCAGGGCTGCAGGCGGCAGCGGGTCTGTGTGGTGGGGGGAGCAGGCTTGGCTCACAGGGAGCCGAGGGGCCAGCTCCATGAATTTATTCATGTTCTGTTGCTCTTTCCCCACGCTCTGGAATGAAGCTGCCAGCTCACCAGGTCCTTATTGCTTCCCCTGCAGCTGTCACATTCGGCCGAGGAGGGACCTGGGTAGGGTCAAGGCCGGCCGGTGCTCCGGGGGCCAGGAGCCAAGTGTCTGGGCTCAAGAGGAAATGCCAAGGCCCAGGCTGGGATCTGGGACAATTTATCCAGAGCTCCTCAGGCAGCCAAACTGGGAGGCCCCAAGAAGGTGGTGTGGTTGGGAGTGGGAAGTAGGCAGAGAAGGGTCTGCTACAGGACATAGCAAGGGCTGTGGAGGTGAGGATGAGTCTGATGGGGGAATGGGAGGAGAGAGGAGGCCTTTAAAGAGTCCCCTAGACTCCCCTATGTAAAAGCACAGCCCAGGAGCGCCTGCCTGGCTCAGTCGGTGGAGCATGTGACTCTTGATCTTGGGGCCATGAGTTCAAGCCCCACATTGGGCATAGAGCTTACTTCAAAATAAATAAAATAAAAGCACAGCCCAATCTGAATCTTACCTTAACCTCCATCCTTGACTCTGCACTAACCCTGATCCTAATTCCAAATTATACACTTGACTCCTCTTCAATCCTAAAATGAATCCTAACTCCATAACCTGAGCCTAAATGGAACACATCTCTTGTCTCTCTTGCCCTGGGACCCAGGGGTCTCCCAAGAATTTCCCCCAGAGCTTACAGCCAGGTGTGTGTCAGAGTTCCGAGGACCAGACTTTGGATTAGCATGTGATTAGCATATGATTTGCATGTGATATGTGCCTTCTACTCTGAGGAAGTTTTCGTGTTAAAATTTTATGAAGTCTAGTGGAAAGGTCCTGGCTCCTTGAAGGTTCTCTCTTTTTGTTCCTTCTCCCACACTCCTTGTCACTGACCCAGGCCCGCTCAAGGGAAGAAGAAGAGTGAGGAGATGAACAATAGGGGGCTCATGGGAGGAAAGATCCTAGCAGTGTGACCTGTCCCTGTCACTTGCAGTGTAACCTCCACAGGCCTCAGTTTCCTCGTTTGTAAGAGGAGAGGAACCAGCTGGCTGACGTCACATTAAGATCTAAGAAAGCACTTTTGTTTCCTTGCACTCTCTCCTTCCTCACTTTTCAGGGTAATTCATAGCGTGGCCCCCATCCCCTCACAAACATTCTGGCTTCCTGTTCCCACATCTAAGATTATGCAAAGCTGGAAGCAGCCTGGGTTGCCTGGTACCAGACCCCTGGTATGAAGAGAAAAGAACTTTGCACACCTGAGGGGACAGGGGATAACATGGAAAGGGAAATAATACTGTATTGTAGGGCTTTTATATGCAAGTTCTTACTACGTCCTCGAAGCACCCCTGAGTGGTGGATATATTTGTCTCCATTTTACAGATGAGGAAACTGGTCCCAGAAAGGAGACCATGGCTTGTCCTGTATCACCCTGTAAGTGGCAGGCCTAGGACTCGAGTTTTGATCTCTGTGCCCCGGAGAAGAGAAATGGCA